TTTGAGGGATATTTTTCAACACTTTAACTTACCTATTGTGTATATTGTCCAACTTCCTGTTCTTGAATTTACGCTGTTTCTGTTGATGTGCAGTCTCGGTGTCCGGGTATGTTGAAGCATAACCATGCTCACATTCTGGTGATGAAAAATAAACATTTTATTAAAATACATTTTACATATTTTTAACAAATGTGATAGAAGTAAAAGGCTTCACGATGGTTTAGACTTGAACACTTGATGCGACCTGAATTCTAAATTACATTTAAATATGTGGCAAAACATCCAAGGATTTACTTAAATAATTAAAACTCACAACCCTTCTTAAAAATGCTAATATCAATACAGCCACATGTCAAGACACATTTATATTCTAGTTTTCTTCCTGTTCTCAAAAATGCATACAGTTCCCTTGAACCCTCCTTCCCAGTAACATCCGACGTCAGACGTGAACCTGGCTGTGATTGGCTGTCTGCCGTGACTCTCGTGCTGGGAACATGTGTGCGGACCAATGACAACTTTACAATTTGTTCCATGTGGAAACCATGTGAACAACACATACAAGGAAGCAGCAGCTGCTCCTGTAAATGATAGGAGGTTCTTGAATTGGAAATGTTGAGGAAATAAACTCTAAATCGCTGGTTTTATATGAAATATGGACCTTGGATTCAATATTTAACTTTGATCCGATCGGCTATCTCAATGCATGGGATAAGCGTGAATTGAGCTGCAGTCGAACCGATATAAAAGATTAAATAGAGAATTACAAGTCTCATATAAAAATAAAACTAGAACAAAATATAGGCTAATAGGCTGCTTGAATTCACCTAAAATGTGCCCTTATGCAAGCCTTCAGATCTTTAATAATGAATGATCGTGCTTGTTCGATGAAGCCTCTGCAGATAACCAGTTTTAAAGGGAGCAGAAGATAATTTGGCTTAAGGCTTGCAATCAAATCAGTCTCTGGAGATGCAATTTCCTGAATTTATGTAGGCAATTTTCAACTTATTTTCGACTGTGGATATTTCGTGTATACGGTCGATTCCACTACAGTTTATCAGTAGCAGGTGAACTATCATTGGCTGCTGCCGGGCCAGCTCATCTGTCCGCTGCGCGTCTTTTGTCGCCTTCGCCTCTTTTGTTGTCTGCTCGGCGCATTACGTGTTAATATCCCCTGCTGCCCGTGTTTACTTACTTCCGTTGTTCTTCTCGACATTTTCTATGTAATTTGCTGCATCGAGCAGCACTTGCACGTTCTTCATGAAAGTGCCGATTTGGTCCATTGCGGAACATTTGGAGTATAAAACGTCGCTGAAAGAATAGTCGGACAATTCTCCAAAATCCTGCTGGTCCATGGACTCATCAGACTCCGACAGAACCTCTTCGAGTTTCAGCTCGCTGTGCTGTCGCATGTACTTTACCATTTTCACTTTAGGCTTTTTTTGTGGGGGGGACTTGGACAAAAAAGCAGCGCTGAATTGCTCTCCTTGTCCCGTCTGTGCTCTGAGCGGCGGACTGAAATGAAATAGGCTCGATGGAATTGCAGTCTTCAGCCTCAACCACTTGCCCTACTTGGTGGATAATCCCTCCCACTAACGCATTCACATTGCATTCATTGTTAACTGTGCCATAATACATCCTCATTATCAATACACTAGGAGAATAACAAATAACACACATAATGCCTGCTCTTCAACACTTCTTTATTTCATTTAACATCATCTGGATATGTTTTACAAATTTAAGCTGCTATCAATATGCACACTGTTTTGTCTGAATGTATGTGAGCATAGTTGTTTGAAAGTGAAAAGCATTTAGACCACATGGCCATATACAGTATGAGGATGTATCAGTATATGGATAGTATATCAAAGATAAATGGTTAGTCTATTAAATGCTACTTTAAGGCAATTTGCTTGCTCACTGTATCCCAAATGAAGGGGTGTTTTACCCATAGTGTGAATGCAATACATTAATAAAATGTATGAGGTAGTTTGAGGTTATTTGGACTTTGATAATCCCATTGTTTTCCCCTGTCTTTTTAGTAGAGTAGACCACTTTGTTTTCACATTTTATCAGGTTGGATTTGAATATATTCTTTCAATTCTACAACAATAAATGGCGATACAAGAAAGTAAACCAGTGAGATTATGGTTAATGTCAGACTAAGCAGGTGCGGATTCAGTGGACAACATAATTCATAGTTAAAGCGACCATACTTTACTGATCTTTTAAGTTACCTGTCCTTTGCAAAACGAACCATGACATTTGGTTTACTCCTAGCTTGATTTTCTACTCCTGCTGTCCCTTTTGACTTATTAAGAAGTCATTTCTTCCCCACACGCTGAGGGAAGGAGGAGGACAGAGTGGAAAGGGCCTGCCTTTACGAGGCTAGCCATGCGTGCAGGGCTGTGTTGTGCCTCTCAGACAATGGGTGCAGATGGCTGGCCCGCTGCAGATGTGGCCTGTAACGGACGCCTGTGAGAGAGCACACCCTCCCATGGAGTCTATTTCAGCTGCCTGGCAAGGCCTGACACTCACAGACAGTCCTGGTCTGAAACAGAAAGTCTGTAGTGAAAAAGCATGCTCAAATTCTGATTCAAAGGTGTTAGGACTGCATAAAAAAAAATCTAAATTTGATAGAAATCTCAATATAGAGACGTGCAATATACAAATCCCAGTAGGAGCAATATTTCCTAAATGCTAAATATGTGATAATTTCATTCTGAATTGAGTATTTTGGTAAACAGAGAAGTCTGGGTAATCTAAGAACAATCTTTTTTTTGGTAGAGATCCTCTTAAAAGTCATACCAGGAACATTTCAATATATTTTTCAATTATAATGTGAATAATGTTCCAAAACGGTTATTGCCTCTGATATTACAATACAAAATGTATTGCACTTGCAATATTAGTCAAAAATAAGCGCAATTCATTACTTTGTAATAATCATGAAGCCCTAAAAGACGTCTAAAACCAACAAATACAGGACTATTTTTGGAATACTTTCTCTTCTAGTATGCATTTTACTACTTTAAGTCTCTTGTTACTAGAGCATCTTTCCGAAATGCCAATACAACTGTAATATCCAATATCATCCTATCTTTTGCTGCCCATTTGCTCAAAGGGACAGAAAAAGATAGTGTGACATGGGCAGAGAGTTCAGCAGGGAAAAGCTCCTCTGTGCAGAGAGGATGTGTGCAGCTGACCGACTGTACGAGCTGCACGCTGATAGCGCCGGCATGGAAAACTGACCCACTGTAGGTTGGTGTAGAATGTGACCCCAACTGGAGTAATCTGAAAAGCCTGAGGATTACACCGGTGGCTCGGCTGTCACAGAGAAGGCAAAGTCACACGATGCTGCTGTGTGTGTGTGTTATGAAAGAATGTGCCAAACAGCAGGGAATAGTAAGCATTTGGGATTTTGTTGAAATGGAATATATATTTTTCATCAGGTGCTATCTATCCTGCTGATGCTCTCCTCTCACGTGCTGGTGGTCTACAAGATGAGCTCAGATTAAGCATTGTGCTGCAGCCGTCCCCTGTTGTTTGGAAACAATGGGTGCACTTTGCCCTGAGGTCACAGCAGAAGGACACTCCGGCAGGCCAGACGTGTGTCAGCTGCTCCTTAGCACTGTCAGGAGCTCAGCGCTAAGCTTTGTTATCGCCACATTTAAAGGGATTGTTCAGATAACAAGTTTGGTGCCGGACAGTAGTCATGCATTTTAGATAATAGGAAAGAGAGAAACAAAGGTTATTTTTAAAAGCCTGTCTGTCATTCCCATGATTAGAGGAAACTAAATTAACTCATTCCATCCAGCAATGTATTCCTTTTAACCGTCAATCTTTATGTTCAGCATAAGTAGCTATGTTTTACTTCAAAATCAAATGTTTTGTTTTTTTATTTATTTGGTCATGTTCAAATAAACCTAATACTTTTTTTTTATCTCATCTTCTCGTAGTAATCTCTAAGGGGAGGTGTGTAGTCAGGGTGGTGTAGGAATACATCCTGTCACCCAAATTATAGCTGAGTATAAGAAGTCCCGGGAGACTCCTCTTCAACAACCTGAAAATTAGGAAAGCAATTCAGATGCTTTTCTAGCAGAACACATCGTTTTTTCATTGTAATTGCTCATAATGATGTAATTGCTCGTATGTTTTTTTTACTTATTTCGTTTTTAAGCTCATTTAAATGCACAAACTTTTGACCTCGTCTTATCTGTTTTTGGAATCCTATAGGAGAGGTGTGTATATGGGTTTGGGGTGGTACATATACATCCTGTCACTCCCCATAATAATAGCTGTGAGTATACTGTAGGAAGCAGTTAGAAAATTACACAGTCCCAGGAGACTTTCTGACTGAATTATAGTCGTTTCCCTTGTTCACGTCTCTTCAACAAGCTGACAATGTATTTATTTTTTACACTAAATGCTCATAACCAAGTCTTATTCCATAAGTTTTTTTATTTTATTTAGCGGTTTTTACTGTCAATTAAATGCACTACCTTTTGGCCTCATCTTATCTGTTTTTCAGTTCCTAAGAGAGGTGTGTATATGGGTTGGGGGTGGTGTAGGTATAGATCCTGTCACTCCCCCAACATGAACACCTGTTGGAGACACCAAATCCCCTCTTTGTCTCCACAGCCCCCTCTCAGTGGATTACCATGACAACACCCATTCATATCATGACCGAAGACTGATTATACAGCTTCACACGGTCAATTATCGCTCAACAGACTGTATTGTTTTAGGGGTACGCTGGTTTAAAAATAAAAGGGGAGGCTGTGTAGTTTTTCTAGAAAGCTTTATTCTGTGCTTGAGGGGGGCCGTGTAGTGTCTTCAAACTGGATATAATTAGATAGAGCTGCACAACTACATCAGGCTCAAATAAATGCACCAACAACATAAGAAACCTTCTCAATGTTTAAACTGTATTTGAGTAAATATAATAAATGCTAACGTCATATACCTTTGAGTCAATAAGCAAGAGAGCAATAAAACAGTTATCGAAACATATCTGAGCTTTTATTACATCAGGTGGGAGGCCATTTTAGAAAGACTGACTTCAACAGTGACTGTAATGTAAAGCCCCATGGAGAAAACCCAGGCGATACAGATAGCTGTGTAAACAATGCAGGAAAATACAAGCACATTACATAAGTAAATACAATTTGTAAACACAGTGCGCTGTGCATGTTCACTAAATGGGGAGCTTAATAAGGGTGAATAAAAAATACCATAAAAGACGTGTTAAAATAGTGTTATTAGATTGTACTGTCACATTTCTAAGTTTCATTGTTTAACATTTGGTTTAGCTTAACAAAATAACTTCACAAATACAAACTATTTACAAAGGCAAAGAGTTCACGCCCTTTGGGTCAAAACAAATCATTCACATTATTGACTGGGATGTAAATATGTAATCCTCTAATATACTTTATATCACACTAACAGTGGCGATGAAGACAAGCGTTCCACAGCATACAGCCATCAACTGACACTATGGAGCAAAACGTCCATCACTTTCAACTTCCTGCCATTCAGGCTTGGCACTTTCATTGTCAACGTCCAAACAAGCATTGATGTTCTTTCAATTCTGTATATGTCAAACCTTGTCACCCAAAAACATCAATACGCAACATTCCTCACTTTACTGGGCTCTTTCTGTTAGTCAGTCCATTCCTTGTCACAATTACGATAAAGCAGCAACCATGGGAACAATACCACTGACGTCAACAATATGAAATATTACAGAATTACCAATTACAGCATGTTTAGTATAAGAGTTAGTAGGTAAAGTAAATATTTAAAGACTATAAAATCATGTATTTAACTATCAAACACTATATTGTAATACCTATAATATAAATCAACATATATTATTACAAGATAGCATAACTTTGACTAGATTCAGATACAAATCGTACTTTTGAAGAGGCTGAATGTTGTAAAACCTTGTTATGCTTAGCCATTGTTACACTACCTGTGTGATTGTTACATTTTTAAATTGTTAAACAATTTCCTTAGCTTTCAGTATACATTCAACAATGAATTTGTGCAAAAAGATATCACAAATACGTAACTGTAATCTGATATTTTCATAACCTTTGATTTCCATTTTGAAACCCCATTAAAAATATGGGTAATAAAGACTACAAATATGCAGTTTTATGTTCACTTTTCATTTGATTTCATTTTACTGAGCCCTTCAGGAGTGATCAATATCAAATTCTCGCAGGATAAAAACACGTCCACATTACCATCTGCTGGCACTTCTCGGAATCATTTTCACATGAAATAATAGCTGTGAATGTAGGAAGCTGTGTAAAAACAACACAGTCCTTGGAGACAAGCTGACTAAATTAAAGTATTTCCTCTTATTTCACTTTCCTTCAACAAGCTGCAAATTAAGAAGGCAATTCTGATGTTTTCCTAGCAAAACACTTATTATTGTTTTGTTTTTTACAGTTGCTCCCCTCAGGCTTCTGCTTTTTCTTTCTCATCCTTCTTTTTCTTACTCTTTCTCATGAACGAAGGTGTGCGGAACTTATTTTTCTTCTTCTTGGGGGACTTGGTTTGGCTCTCCGGGGTCTGAGCCTCACCTGTCTTCTCATTCGATGTAATGGAGATTTCCACCGTTTCTGAAGTGCTCACACTCAGCTTTGATACCTCAATGCTCAGATCCTCGTCCGTCTCATCTAAGTGGTCTTTCCCATTGGGTATTATGTCTGTGAAAAGATAAATTAATGTCAGCCGAGAGGGATGTGGACAGGAAGTGCAATCACTCTCTCTCACACACACACACACACACACACACACACACACACACACACACACACACACACACACACACACACACACACACACACACACACACACACACACACACACACACACACCCTTTTATAGATGACACCAGATGGATAGAAAACACAGAACCAAACAAGCAGCTATTGCTATCGACTCCAATGACTATTGACTAATTACCTTGTTTAATCGGCGTCATTAATGGAGAGAGGGAGAGGGAGATAGTAGAGCCATCAAAGGTGGTCATCTCTTCCGCATCAGTGGCATCATCATCTTCTGTAAACGGATAAAGGTCATCAGGGGTCAGTCATTCATTAGAGCCAGTATGTTGATGGGAGTGAGACTAATGTTAGATGAACTGATTTATGGCAATCAGAATGTTCACTGTTTGCAGAGGCAAAAATGTTTCACTCTTGGCAGGACTTTAATGTTAAAAAGTAAAGTCATGCTAACATATTTTAAATAATGATGATAATAATCCGATGATTGGGAGTTAAATTGTTTACCATCTCCACTGTCTTAGAAAAGTGTTAGCATGCTAACATTTTCTAATGAGCTCCAAACACAAAGGACAACCGAGGCTGTTATAAATGTCAATATTTTTGCAGGTTATTAGTCATAAACCCAACAGGCAGACATAATAAATGATTGAACCGATGATCGCAGTAGAGTAAGGTTTAGACATTAAAGGTCCCATGTCATGGCCATTTCCACTGATCATAATTCCATTGTTGAGGTCTACTAGAATAGATTTATATTGTGCAATTTTCCAAAATCACTTTGGTTTCTCATACAGCATCTCTGTAAACTACGTGTATTCACTGAATTTCACTCTCTGCCTTTAACGGCTCGTTGTAGCTCCATCCAGCCCCCACCCTCCCTGTGAGCACAGTGTACTCTGATTGGTCGGGACGTTGTGAATCGCGCTGAGCTCCGTGGAGGTGTGGTTTCCTTGTTTAGCGACAGCGAAACACAGCCAAACTCACCCTGAGCACACACAAAGTCACAGCCGAAGTAAAAACAATAAGTGTGGCTTGATATTGAGTAAGAAAAAGGTTGATAAACGCTGTGAGAATGGGTCTGCAGAGAGAATTTCGCCGCGATCCCAACTGTCTGTTATCAGCCTGCAGCCAGGGAGGAGAGATCAGCAGAGCTGCCTGCACTGAGTGTGTGTGTGAGGAAGTCCGTGGATTGGTCAATTTGGACCAATCAGCGGGGGCTTAACGTAACGGCTCACGTAACGGCTCCACGGATTGGTCCATTTGGTTCCGGGTAACGCATGACATCATGCGGTACCCGGAAGAATCAATGGACAGTGACGTATCTCCAACGAGGCGTTTTGGGGAAGTATTTTCTGTGTTAGAGTTTTACTCGCTACAGGGTGTACTTTGAGGGTTTTGACTCTGCAGACCGTTTACATGCATAAAAACCTTCCTAACACACAAGGGGACGGGTAATAACCAGAAAAGCATGACATGGGACCTTTAACATCTTTCGACCCATGTTGCTAGCATTCCAAAGTAAAAAAGCAAACACTAGATGGTAAAGAACATTGTTACATTATTTAGCCAATGCGTTCCAAGACAAAGGAGCCAGTCAAATATACAGCAGTAGAAATCTATCTCTCCTACACACCTTTTTTCTTGTCTGCTGCCATAACTAAAACACAAGTAGATTGACTAGAGCAATGTCTTTGCAGCAAGAGTGAAACCATTAACTGACACTGTTCTTGTGCAGGCATTTTCACAGGAATATCCTCGTTTCAGTGAATGGAGTTGAGGTAGAACATTTCCTCGAGACAGGAAGAAGCCATTACTTGGTAATGACCTTCAACTGCCTTGACAATAGGCTAATGAGACTGCTTTTATGGGGATGCAATAAGTACAGCAAGCGTGTTTAAAATATGAAGCTACAATATTAGCATCATAAACAAATAATCATTAAGATATCAAGTAATTGTAATTTGTTTATAGATGTTTGTGTCTTTTTTCATTTAAAAAGTTCAAGAATTCCTCCTAATTCTACATTTAATGGGTGGCCTGGCAAGTCAGAGATTGCTGTTAAGATTTTAATATTAGCTTTGTCATTCCATCTCAATTTCTTTAATGACCTCTGGGACCGCAGAGGATTAACTTCAGTACATCACACACTCATAATCTACAGGGGATGATGTCAGATATGAGCTGTATAAACCCAAGTAGGATTACATTAGGAAGAGGTTTTCCGTGCCTCACAAGAGCAATGGTGCACATTGATGCTTTGAAATGCTAACGAAAGCGTCTGACTACCTTCTTGGCCTAGCTGCTTTCTTTCCACCAGGCTCTTGTATTCCTCCAGCATCTTCTCTGTGAGCTCATTGAAAGGGTTGGGGGGAAGAGAGCGAGTCTGCTCTTCGTCCTCGATGATGAAAGCCTGTTTGACAGAAGAGGATAAAAAAAGATTTTTGGACAACTGATGTAATGCATTTTTGAGTAAACTAAATATAAACAATTGCTGATGGAACAAAGCAGAATGTTTCTTCTTCAGACTGTGATGTTTACATTGGTTGCAATGCTTTGGCACACATACAAATCGAACTTTTAAAAATCTTGTGTGCAATCCTCAGATCTCAGAGAAATGTATGTTGTAGGTTGGTTTATGCATTTCTGGATGCTTTTTATATTCTTATCTTATGTCTTCATTTCCATCTGTGATTGCATTAACCTCTGCCATCAAAATCAATGTAATTCATTACAATGATATCAGCCAGCTGTTTTCAGCAACAACATCTTTCACTTTTGTAATTGGGTTATTGTTTGTTTGGATGTCTTATGGAAGGAACTAAAGGAGAATACACAATTTCAGTGTCTTCTGTCACATTGACAGTTTTAATATTGCTAGTCGTGTAGAATTCTCTTTATGATCACATGATATACGTATAATGTGTTGCTTATGGGATTTAATGTTAGTAAAGGGCCCTGTGAGGTTGTCAGGTATGAGGAAGTCTCTGGTTCCTGTTCCACATGTTCCCCCCCCCTGTTGGTCAGACTGAAAAGGATCTCAACTGTTGAGTTAAAATGACTTAACCCTGAAACTAAGGGACTGTTGCCCAATATAGGAGGCTTAGGCATTAACACATTATTCAAAGGAATAATCCAACATATATGGGTGGTCATACTTTTCTGTACTTGATGGAATCTAACATTGGCTTACTTTATTTGTCTTTTGGTTGAGAAAATGTTATCTATGCAAAAAGTGTCTCCCCTTTTGTGTGGGTGATGAACTTGTTGATAAAGTGACAGTTGTGGCGTAGAGCTCAGAATAAAAACAGTTTATTCTTAGTGTTTTATTTTCTAAAACACTCTGATGCAGTGTTTTGGAAAATGTGCAAGCGCAATTGAGAAAAAATCAATACAGTGACATATTGTGTGTCAGGCAGTTTTATTGCACCAGTGACTTTTGAAAAATGATAAATGTACTCACTGGTCCTTTTACGGTGTCTACAACAATGCCTGCTAGTAGCTGAGACTTTGGTCCGGAAGTCATCAGGTCACCTCTGTGCTGTTCTTTAATCTGGATAAATGAATTCAACAAAAATCATATTAAACTTCAGGAATCTTTGACATTTCATACAATATTATAATACCATGACACTACAAATGCAGACCAGAGGCATGTCCGACATACTTGTGTAAACACCACAGGACACAACAACACAGACAATGATAGTAGATTTCTTCATGGTTTATCAATCCATCAGCTAGTAGACTTGATAAGTTGGTTAATAGTTGGTCAACAAAAAGATTCAAACAATTTTCATAAGGGACTAATATATGTTGTTATTTTACAAGCGAAATCAGAGCATGAGGATCAGTATTGATTTATAAAAAAATAAATCTTATTCCAGTTTCTATGCCATAAGTTTATCATACAGAATGCAATGTTTTAATAGTTTATTTTAGTTTGAAACTGATTTTTACAATATCAGCTGTGATCATGATATAACACAGGCAATAAGAATTATACAAATTAAGTCGTTAGTATTGATAATTATGACATGAAAAATGTGATGATGTTTCCACTGACCCGGTTCCTCTTATCCAAAACCTCTGTGGGATTAGTGTTGAGAGGGACAAACTGGTTTGGGTCCTCGATCTTTATTGGTGTGCCAATGTTATTGCCTGGCTCTGAAGACTTCATCCACTGAGAAAAAATAATTAGTGCAAATTGAGGAATAAAGATCAGTGTTTATCAGTATTTAGCAAACAGGCCACAAGAGGGCAGGATAATACAGAGAGTATCAGATAACAATTTTTAAGACCAACTTTAGAGACCAAAACAGCATGGGTAAGATTATTTGATTTCTTGTTTCAGCTCCACATGAGAATCAACGCACCATGGTCCTGGTTCTGGGGCTGACGTCCCCGCTGGGTGAGTGTTCAGGAACATCGACCCTCAAGTAGCTGTTGGGCGAGTTGAGCCACCGGGTCCTCTCTCTCTGCTGTTTCTGGGCCATAAACTTGAAGGGGCTACGCAGACCCAGCTCACCGTCCTCCGGGGGGGCCGCGGACACCGTGGCGGGGATCTCCACATCGTTCTTAGAGCGAGGTTTTTCACGGACGATGGGGTTCCTGTACGAGTAGCCTGTTCTGTATCCCTAGAAGATCACACAAAGTGGAGACATTACTTCAGCAGTTTTTCTTTGCCTTACGTGTAATTGTACACAGTAGTTTTAACTGTTCTTCAGTTTCCCCTCGCAATCCATTAAATAAGAACTATCAACTACAAAAGATATAAAACTCAAAGGATGTTCAGGCCACCCAAGATCCACTTACACAATGCTTCTAAATATTTAAACAACACTGTATATACAAACAGCGTTTTTGCAGATGTGCCCAGTTTCAGAGGGAATAGATAAAACTTTGGTTTAAAGGAGTGTGTTGTTAACAATACATCAAAGATGAGAGAGACGACTAGAAAAGCGATGAGAACTGGAGCCGGCAGTACAACGCTACAATCAAAATTGGCATTTTCTCACAGGCAATGTGACAAGTTTGCAACGGAAAATGATCCCTGCTTTGGGCTTTGATCATTAATTCACAGTGTTGTTCACTGTCACCAGAAGCACAGTTTCCAAATGGTATGAGGAATAACAATTTTTATATGCTCAATTTACATATTCATTGTTATAAACAATAGCTTAAAGCACCAGGTCAGTATCTGTATTCCCTTTCAGCTAGACGCTAGTTATCATAGAGATTATCACCACATTCAGAACAACTCGATTTTTGTTTTAAATTGTATGTATGCACCTTGATATAAGTCAAATTCCTCGTACGTGTGAACCTGCCTGGCAATAAACCCGTTTCTGATTCTGACTAGCAAATTCAAGATTCAAGGCTTTATCTTCATGTGCACAGTAGCTACAGTGTAGATATGGCAATGAACAACCTAAGTCACAGGCTCCTCCAATAGTGCAACATGAATAATATATAGGACATAAAGCAGAGAAAATAGTGCAAGAGAATGTTTTGACATGTGCAAATAAATACAAATAAAATAGAAATAGTGCAAATCCAAGGACACTGGTACCCCTGTTGAAGTGAGAGCTCTGGCCTTTTCACCCAATACATTACAATCTTGGAGAAAACGCCAAATCTGATTCCTAAATTGAGTACACTAGAGTTCTTGCACTAAGTGATTGTGTGGTCTGTGTGGATGTGACTGCCCACAGCACGCCTCACCATCTGGAAGCAATGATGGAGAGGAGGGGGCGGGCTATGATCACACTGAGCTAACACAGCTGCAGCCCACTCCAGCTACAGTTGTTATCGAGAGAAGCAAACTCAGGAAGACACAGCCTGACATCGGCTGCGTCCAGTCCACAGAACATGACAGGGCCTGGTCATTAGCTGTGCGGTTAGAATAGTGGGGATGAAGCTGACAGAAGTGCAGCACTGTACAGAAACAACACCTGCAGACAGCATTTTGGCCACAGATACAAAAAACATGGTTTGACATGTTTTTGTCATTAATAGAATCTGTAGTTGTAGAGAAAAAATATTACACGGCCTTCATGGAGCACTATGTTCCACTTTTTTCAGATGACATTTACAAAAACATATCTGGTTTCATTGTGTTCTCTAATCAAGGCTTCCAGAGGAAGCGCCTGAAACAGGAAACTCAAAGCATCATAGGTAATAGGCACAGGTCAGGGTTCACCTACCAGGTTGTCCAGCATCCTCATGAGGGACTCAAGTTCGGCCTCGCCCACTTTCCACTTGACCTCATTGTCCATCACTAACCCGGCAGCGAACGCGCCCTGAGTCAGGGGTTTGAACTTCTCTCTGTCCAGGAGAACGAGATTATCCACGCCGCCTGAACACCCCATAGCATTCACCTAAAAACAGACAACAAAATGATTCTTGTATACCCTTACATATCTTATGTAGTAACAAGCCACATACTGTAATTATTCTTCGCAAAATCAATGATGGTTTTCCCTAATGTATTAACTATAATTCTGCAATGTAAAACACTAACTACTGAGATAATTAATTTCACAACATATTGTCTCTCCCATCTCTCCCAAGATGCAGTAGGATTTCATTTCACAATAATTGTAAATATGTCAGCCAGGCTGTCAATATGTGTCAAAAACAATTGAAGAAAATTCAGTCCAGACACGGCAGAATGATAAATAAACAACCCCCCGACGGTCTCCCTGACACGAGGCAACAGGAGTTTCTTAGAACCTCTGCAGGGTTCCACCTGGCTGGCCGTGAACTCTGATCTGTAGCACATATTTGATTTAGCATTTTCCAAGCTCTCTGTATGGTAGATATCACATCAGATTTGCTGCTAAGGCCCTGCAGTGATACTTTGCTATTTGCAACCAAGTCTGATTCAAAATCGAGACGGATAAGATAAGATGATTTTTGTCATTGCATGTTAGACACACTGACATTTGTGGAAATGTGATTTATGCCCCTCTAGTATGATTAATGTGTAAAATTTGCATCAAGGGTTCATTCAGATATTTATTTGAACTGAATATTGCAAGTACATGTCATTTCCAGGAAGAGGTAGAGTAAACAATGGAAATCAAGCTTTTTATACCTGGATTTCACACGCTTGCTGTGAGTGGTACATGTAGTGAAAAGCCTCTTCAACTGTTTCCCCTAAAGCGATCAGGCCATGGTTCCTCAGGATCAACACCTGAAAAATACAGGAAACACTTGAGCTGAATGATCCATCTGAGACATGATAAAACAATATCCAGATACACTTATTACATTCATCAATGTGACTTAAGCAGCAAATATTCTCATGTCAACATACAACACATGTCACATGCAGTGCTCTTACAATCTGTTCATCCCAGAGCAATAGTCCATGAAAGAAAATGTCATGTTCACTGTGCCTTTTTTTGAACTGTGAAATCCATAACTAGTAACAAAATCAACAAAGCTGTCCCCAAATACTTAATTGTGTGTAGACTGTAGACGATGTGTGCCATTTAAATATAAGGCTATATAGCTTAGCTTAGCATAGAGGCTGGTAGCTAACAGCACCTCTGAAGCTAATTCAGAGACAGATCTTTCTTTACCTTTGGACAGAGCCAGGCGACCTCTTTCAGCCAGCTTCCAGACTTTAAGCTAAGCTAATCTTATACAGCTTTTAGCTTCATATTTAACAGACAGGTACAGAGTAGTATCTTCTCGTGATAACCGATATATGAAATGTGAGATAATTAAAAGGGGTTTTCTAACATCGTGTCCCTTTTTATGTATGTATTTAATCTGATACATAATTGAGGAATTAACTCATCTTACAATGCTTTTAGTTAAAGTTGGTTTGCAAATCGAAAAAATACTTGAAATGTTTGTAAGAGTACACACATCTCTTTATGTTATACTGTATGCACAATAACTCATTAACATGTGCTAACCAACACACATGAAAGACCTCATATACAGTACAGCCAGTTGCACACAGTATAATATAATAAGTAATGACTTCCACCCAGTGGTTGAAAGGCTGCTCTGTCCCATGAGAAGAGAGCCTGTCACTAATGAAGTCCCTTGGTTTGACAGTACCTTGGCAGTTGGGCCCAGAGCTTTCTGAAACTCCACCTTCTCCTCTTTATTATCAAGGCTGCCATGGAAACCAAAGCAGCTCACGTCTCCGAGAAGCAAAGCCTCCTGGGAAATGGGCAGGATTGCACATTTCATCGAGGACACCTGTTAACGTGGGATAAAAGCAAGTAAGAGTGTGACGCACTAACATATAAATGGAGGCACATTTTTAGCTATGAGGCGCAAATAAAAGTTTCGACAGCGATGTTCATCATGTGCTTTACGTTTTACAGCCCAGCTTCAAAGGAAAGGATAAAAGCACGTTACAGGGTGTCTGCGTCTAAAATAAGTAGCAGGGGGCTACTTTTAATTCAGCCCTTTCTCTCTTGTGCAAAATAAGCATTTAGCAGCTGCTTTTATGCTTTGATTAGAACGGAGCTCATTTAATATCGGCCTGCAGCGTACTTACAGCAGCTGTAGCGGGGGTGTGTATGTGGATTACACATCTCACATCAGGGCGCATCGAGTAAATGGCAGCATGAGGAGCAAAGCCAAAGAGGTCAATACCCAGATTAGTGGAACCCTGGTCCACCACCTCACCAATTATGTTCACTTTCACCTACACAGGGCAGAAAAAAAGAAGAACAAAGTCATTGTTATTTTAGAACAGGACAGAATTCTTTTTTTAAATATGCAACCCGCAAGTAATTACATACATTATGCCTGAACCATTAAAAGGTATCCCGTGGAGTCTTCGGTTAAACAAGCAAACTATGTGTACATTAATGAATCAACAACAAAAACACTGTGTCTATCCTCGAGGCCTGACTACGTGTTGACTTTATCGTACCGTTTTTTTAATTGTGTAATCTCCATTGTTTACGTCTGTGTTTACCTAGTAGCTCGAGGTCTATTCTTCCCTGCTGTTTGCTGCCAAATTACTTCTATATGTGTATTGTGTTAAAAAGGTCCTTGTTTGTGCAAGGTCCAGAAAATCACATGTTTTCAGCCAAGAAATTATTTTTGCTTCAATCCATTTGACTAGATAAGCCTTTCAAACACAACATTTTCACTGCGATCCAAACATTTGCTTTCATGCTTGCAGCCCACAAAGGCAGGCATGCACCTGTATCAACGATGTCTAGCAGCAATTTAACAGCACCATAAATCACATTTACACAACCACCCCAAAAAAATAACCTCCTTTTTTGGAAGAAAAGATCCTCTTTAAAATGACATGCTTTATTCAAAAACCTCAACTGGAGTTTTATATGTAAAGTAAATAAAAGCCATAATTTCTAAAAAATATCAAACTCATCAGACTATACAACACAAATATGTGTAATAGTCTGATCTGTAAAGTAAGGAGTCCAATTGGGATTTGAGCACATGCCAGTTAATATGACCTTCAATTTAAAGTTTTTTCTTTTTGTAAAGTCCGAGTAAAATCACAACATTTTAAGCACACTTACTGTAAAATGTGATGTTTGTGTATACAAACGTTTACCCAATGCTATGTATAACATTGAATTACAAAGCAGTCTTTATTCAATTATAAAGATAATGAAAATATCAACAAACATTAAGTCATTGTGCTTACCAAATTTGCCGCCGTCACCTCAGCGAAAGACAGACCTCTTGGACTAATAAGAACATGGTCTTGCTCTTTACTGATACGCACCTGAAACAAAAATAACATGTTTTAAAGGTCCCATGTCATGCTTTTCCGGTTATTACCCGTCCCCTTGTGTGTAATGAAGGTTTTTATGCATGTAAACGGTCTGCAGAGTCACAAACCCTCAAAGTACACCCTGTAGCGAGTAAAACTCTAACACAGAAAATACCTGTCTATGCTGCCCCAGAACGCCTCGTTGGAGATTTCTCTTTTTCTTCCTGGTACTAAGTGACGTAACGACGACCCAAATGGACCAATCCGTGGAGCTCCTCTACACACACACACACACACTCTTTTAGCGGCGAAAATGTGACGCGCTGGGGGGGGTGATAGTGGAGCCTCGCAGCGCGGCGAAACTGGCGCGCAACGGAGCTTACACACGGAGGCGTGCGTTGAAGCTTGCTGACGGGCATGTCTGACGCTCGACCAACAACCAATCAGTTGAATCTCCCGCTCCGGACACACAAGCAGCGGTTTGATTGGCTAGAGCTTGTACTGGCATATGATTCGATTGAGTTTCAAAAGTAGAACATTGCTCTACTTTTGAAGCTTTGCTCCCACAATGCAGTTCGGCGAAGCGTGACGTCATCCCATTCAAAGTGAATGGGCAGAAGCGTTGAAGCTTCAATGCACGCCGCCGTGTGTAAGCTCCGTTACACTGTAGGTGCGCCGCGTTTGGGGGTGCGGGTGCTAGTGGAGCCTCGCAGATGGGGCTGCAGCCCCCTCAGCACCGGGAGAGGGGGGCAGGAGCTCCAACAAGGCGTTTAGGACAGAGAGTGAAATTCAGTGAATACACATACCAATGTGAGTTTGGAAAATTGCACAATGTAAATCTATTCTAGTATACCTCAACAATGGAATTATGATCAGTAGAAATGGCCATGTCATGGGACCTTTAAAATGTGTATGCCAAGAAATCTCTGAAAACGACAATAGTATTTTTTTATTGTATTTTTACACATTCTGCTTTTAACAAATATTTGTCCTCTTGACATTTAACATTTTTGATAAAAATCATATTTATTGTTCAGCTCTAATAAAATCTTTAACTTAAGTTATATTGAATGAATATCAGAGATTTGTTATTCTGTAAATGTCAGTGATGATTCTACAGTGTAGAAATTAGTGCTTGCTGAGTTTGCATGGGAGAAATTAACGCTGTTATATATAAAAGGGCAACGTTTATCCTTATCACGCCTCTGCAGGACCTATAGAATCATTATCAGGGTCAAAAAGCTAGTTTAAAAGCCCAGGAGACCCAATCTCTTCTCCTTAAAAAAACTTTAAAATGGGGTATCAGCTCCACAAAAGAGGAAGAATATTTTCACAGATTCAAGGGTAGAAGGAACTCTATCAAAAAGGGGAGCTCTCTTCACTCTGAAAAACTCATAACATCAGTGTGTGGGTTGATAAAACTTGACTTTCTAGGCTTTGTCTTTTGGGAAAATCTGGGCCTTTTGTCCTGACATCCCAGGTGTTCATCACATATTTCTGTTGGGGAGGTGTACATATTCACAGATCTGACTTTTCTAAACCATAAATAATATATGGGCTCTGAAAAAAGAGGAATTTCACTTTAAGCCCAATAACCAGAAAACATGAGTCACCGGTAAAGATACACAGACTTTGTGCTGCATACATAGGCAGATGTGCACTGAAGCGGCAACAAGTTGTGATGTTGTACTCACAGTAATGTAAGAGGTCGTAAAACGGGCCCAGCTGAAGAGGTCAACAAGCCTGTAGAGGCTGGCCAGTCTGCAGCGACTCATTTTCTCCCCTTTGACATAGGAGGGGGACTCGATGCCATACAAGTCATTGACTGGAGTCACCGTCCCAACACCTGCTCCAACATTTAAAACATAATCAGTGACTTGTAAAGCATCCACAACATTAAATATGCATTATTTGAACGTCTACAAGGTTGTTTACTTGGTTAAAACATCCCAAAGTCTCCACAACTGAAGCTAAAAAAAGATATTTCTTAGAATTCCCAGCGAGAAACCGAAAAAGGTATTTTTGGCCTGTGATGCCATATAAGGGCATTAAATGATACAGGACGCTTTCTTTTCCAGCAACTTTAGCTTTCTTTTTTAAAGCAAGTCTGCCTTTGCAACCCTAAAAGCCATTTCCTACAGTCACGGGCGGCTGGGGATGAAGGCTAGAGAAGGCCAAGACCTACTAAATGACCAATGTTCCCTAAACGTTGTTTTGTCCAATAACTCCAAATATCAGCCTGTAGTATAAGGCTACATGAGATTATGAAATGTATCTATTTTGTCTGTTAGTGCTGTGTGTTTAAAGCATGCTACTTCTGAGGTTCTCTCATGTGCTTTGGGCTACAGCTAGCAGGATGTATGAGCAGGATGTATGTGTGTTTGCACAGTAACATTTGATTTGATGGCTCTGCTTTACCAACGTTAACGGTTAATTGACTGATACTTTCTGTGGTGACTATGATTTTGATTGTGGTTGTTTGAGCTTGTTGTCATCAACTTTGTGTTCGATTTCATTAACAATTTGAATTTGAGTAAATTGCTGTGGTTGTATAACAATTCGTAAATTATTAGCCTTCCCTACCCTGAGCGTCATCAGACGCCTTTACCTACAGTGACATTTTCCCAGACATTTACAGTTTGGATTACCAAACTTTTTGGAATTGAGTACTCCGTGACCTATACAGAAACGCAAGGGCAAGAGATTAGGCTAACATAATTAAATTTGCAAACTGCTGTAATTCATTATCAACACTGGTATTGAGTGCTACTTAATAGAAACACTGACAATGAAGAATGCTGTAAACAGCTTTCTGCCTTTTCTGCTGTTTCAGGGTTGTTCAGTGTCACAAGAGTCTTACAATGAAGATATTCAGCCAGCATAATGCACAGAGTGAACACACTGAATGTCAATCAGGCCTGAAGAGGGACACACATACACACTGCTACTCACTGTTGGGTGAAGTCAGGGGGCCTACCCCTCCCAAGGTACTTGACATGACCAGGTCAGCAATCTGTCTCAGAGCCAGGAGACCTGTAGTGCTGGTGCCCTTTGTCACATGGTCCTGAATCAGGCCTTCCAACTCATCTTTAAACACCTGTGGACAAAAGAGAAAGAGTAAAGCTCCATTAACCTAGCAACAGTATAAACACAACCCTAACCTCATTCCAACACTTTTCTTGAGATGTCAGGGAGCACAGCATGCTTATTACATCAGTACACAAATCAACCAAAGACCATTAGAAACCTCTTTGTATGTCTGGGAAAGGGCTTGACTAGAAGCAGGGGGGATCGCATTAAACCTCACAATCAATTTTTGCCTTCAACACTAGTCTGTGAGCCTTCTTGAAATGGCACTTTTCTTTCTGTGCGCAGCAACTAAGCTCCAGCATTCTGCTTCATCTAACCACGGTTCCCATGGTGATGATGAGCTCCACTTGTTGGGCCTGTTATGCAATCGCAGATGAGTGTGGGCTCGTCTTATTTCTATGCACTTCATAGGCATGTGTTTATCTAGCCAGAATACACCCATTCTGAGATAATATCCGCAGAAAGATAATAACTAAAACCAAAGAATATTTTAATTTTTTTGGCTAATAGTTTAAGCTATAAAGTATCTGCATATAGTGAAATAGTGAGAATCCCATTTTAAATTGCTTATTTTGTCTGAACACCTGTCAGAAACCCTAACATATTCAATGTAATATTGTGTTAAGACAGACCGCAAATATCTGAGAAGTTCCAGAGAATGTTTGACATTTTTGGGTGAAAACCTAACATACATTTTTATCGATTATCAATGTGTTTGCTAGATTATTTCTCCTCAAACACCTGATCTTTTAATCCATTTGTTTATTCAGCTTTAGCTTACAATATAGATACTTTATATAACAAGTACGTAGGAAACGTCTTAGAATATGCAGCATATTCTATCTGCAAAATAATTTGTGAGTACTGATAATCTGTAACACTAGTAAAACAATAAAGAGATGAAACCTCCATATTAAACACAAATACTGTGACAGTACCACATTTCTTTGTTGCTTTAAACTCACAGCTAAAGCCATATCTTAGCACGACAGAGACTATGAAATGACCTTCACATAAACAAGAACAAAACAATGCCTTTCTGCCAGTCTTGAGTGAAGGCAAAGTAAGCCTCTCCTGCTTTAAAAGCGTTGTTTATTACTCATACACACTGAAAGCTTGTGTGTAGGAGGGCACTTATACGGCGCCGCGGGCTACATACCGGACTCTGCAGGATTTGGGTGACCCTCTTCTTCTGCTCCATCATGTTGAAATCCTGCTTCAGGTCGGGCGACATCATCTTGCTGCGGAGATACTCAGGGTCATTCTCGTCCATGCGGTCAAAGTATCGCTCCTTGGGGTCGTTGCTGGACAGGGACAGGGTGAGGGACCCCGCCATCTGCCTCACCTCCACCAGACTCATGTCTTCACTGCCCCTATTCTTCCTCTGGGATCTGCAAGAGAGGGTGAATCATTGCAGCTTACTTCACATTCGGGGCTGTCAATGCAGCGAGTGTTGCTTTTACAGAAGATATACTGTATGGGTGCTATGGTGACTCATGTAATTATAGGGATGGAGACAAAAGTGAGGAGGACTTCATCATGATGGCAGATTTGTGAATACAAGGCTGATTATGTGCAAAAAGGTTGAGTTAGTCAGTGTTGCTGTGCACATAATCATGCACGTTTTTACTGAACTAGGCTTAGTACAGTTTCATAACACAATGATGAATGTGAACACCTTACACTTCCAGACGTCTCATTCTTAGTTGTTCTATCACTTTGGAGGTTTTAGCATAAAAGTTGAGTCTCTTTCTTCTCTCACAGAAGGAGGCAAACTCTTTAAGAGTGATAAAAGGAGCAGGCGGCTAATTAAAGGTCAACAGTAAACAAAGGTAGGCCTCATGTAAATGTGCCAGTTTGAATAGCAGTTAGCACCTTTAGTGCTGGGGTACCTGGATGTGGGGGTGGAGGAATACAATAGAGTCTTCTACATTACATTAGGCCTGCAAATGAATAGTCTCACTGCACCGAACCGAATGCAAACGTTCACTTCTGAATAAGCAGCAGCCTGTTATCCAGAGAACTCGTTGCATTGCGTAAAATTACAACTTTAAACCATGTATACTGCGAAAAACACCGAGGGGAGAGGATATATTAGCCGGAGCTACACTTTGAAACGTACACACGCTCCTTAAAAACAAAGCGAACACAATCCCACGAGGAGAACACTGTTACTGTAACTTGAAAATTACCTGAAACAAAGTGCTCGGTTCGTGAATGAACTGACTCCGGACGATGTGAAGTCGAATTACTCCGACAGTGGCTCCAGAAGTGAGGATAAATAAACCAGAAGGATGTTATTCCCGATTCGGATTCATGGTGGGAAAAGAGCGCAACTTGGTGCTGCTACAGTATCCAGCCGGAGCAGACTCACTGCCCGCTGCGGGTGAGATGAAGAATAGTGGCTGCATGGAGGAGGATGTGGGTGTGTTTGTGTGGGAAAAAGGAAAAGTGACCATGTGACTTCACTTATCCACCCACTACTAGGCCTTATGTATGCAGCGGGACAAAGGAATGGCCACTCAGGATCAGTTCCGCTTTTTTGGATCTTCTTTACAACCATACAAGCTTTACTGTAATATTCCTGCACGGCCTTGTAGTTTCACTTTCACGACCTTATGTCTGTGCTATTGTTTGATCCTTTGTGGTTTCCCATATCCCTCAAGGAACGTGTTAACAATTGCTGCAGTTTGAAGCAGGGTTTGGGATTTCTTTGATTAGTCTTCTTCTCTCTGTGTCTCGTTGTATGTGATGATTCATTAACTCCTACCACTTATTTTCATAAATAACTGAGGCTCCTGTGTTACCACAACCCCTAAGTAGAGGTTTTCATCAAAGCTATATGGCAAAGTCATAACAACACCGAGCACTTCAAAGCGGGAAGTGCTTCTCTCTGAAAAAAGCGTTATAACATATAGGATGTTTGCTCTCAGAATGAAAGCAATGGAATACAGATGTTCACTCTAAACAGAAATAGTATGGTCTTTCTGATTATTTGTTCACATTACCAACATCCACAAACACGTTGTAATCCGATTACGTTGATGTGCAAAATACATTCATAGGCCATTCATAGGCCTCCAGTCTTTTTAAAAACTCCAATCAGCATCTCTGAATATACTAGTTTATGGAGCTATTTCAGGGTCATAAGTTTTGATAATTCCAAAAAATACAATTTATTTGAAAGTTCAAGTTTTTATCATGAACTTTGAAAAATACAATGATGTATTCAAAACAAAAAAAAGTATTTGAAATAATTTTTCAGGTTGAATATTATTTTGATTCAGTTCAGCAATTTTTTTGAATAATATATTTATTTTCAGATTTCACTTTTATACATATTTTGATATTTGAATCCTTATTTTTTTCAGCACAGATTTTTCGTTTTCAGATTCAAAACAACTATTTTTTCAGTTTCAAATCTTGTTTTTTCAGGTTTGACATTGCTTTTCACCTTCAGATCGTTTTTCACTTTCAGATNTTAAAAATATATATAATTTCTTTTCTTAATCTTTAATACTTTTTGTATGCATGCTTTAGGTAACATTAAGCTGTCTTTGGCTCTTGTCTGCTGTAACAATGTAAATGTATCCCTGGTATTCTGATTCTGATCGCAAAAACCAAGCCAATACTATGCTGCGTTCATGGAGCTACGTGGAAGTGGGGAAGGACAACGCTTGATTGCGGATACGTGATTTCAGATTCTAGCACAGTTTATTGCTCTTATACCTTGATTGTTGCCAACTACGATGCTCAACAGCTCGCTTAACGGAACTTTGATGCTGGATCATTTTTGTTTACCACCAATCACGGGAGTATTGTGTATAGAAAGTGTGTAGTTGTATTTCTTGCGCTACCTTACATCCATGAAGGCATCATGACAGAGGGAGGGCTGTCACTCAGGGTCCCGCCCCCCGAAGCAATATCAGGGTCAAAAGTCTGAAAGCGAAAAAAAAAGATCTGAAAGCGAAAAAAAAGATCTGAAGGTGAAAAAAGATCTGAAGGCGAAAAAAAGATTGAAACCTGAAAAAAAAGATTTGAAACTGAAAAAATAATTGTTTTGAATCTGAAAACGTAAAATCTGAAACTGAAAAAAACAAGTATTCAAATATGTATAAAAGTGAAATGTGAAAATAAATATTTTATTTTAAAAAATTGCTGAACTGAATCAAAATAATATTCAACCTGAAATATTATTTCAAATACTTTTTTTTGTTTTGAATACAACATTGTATTTTTTCAAAGTTCAGGATGAAAACTTGGACTTTCAGATAAATTGTATTTTTTTGAATGATCAAAACTTATGACCCTGAAATAGCTCCATACTAGCTTTGCTTTCTTGTAAGTCACATAGCACAACAGTTCACCTGATGATAACATAGAAATATAAGCCTGCAAATGGAGTCTCATGCCAGGTTGTTGCAGAAAAACACTTGCACCCTGCTTTTCTTTAATATACGTTAATTGGCTCTCTTACAGTAAACAGGAAATAAGATCAAGATTAAAGCAAATGCATAGCGGTGCAGTTTTATCCTGTTTACGGAGCAGGGGTCCTTTCCTCTCTTCAGGCCACCTCTCAACTATGTTCTGCCTTACTGACCAGTCTCTCCAGAGAGTATTGCAGCAATATTCAAAATCACTCCGTAGACTACAACGGAATGTCTATGTTCTCAGCACCATGCTCCTGCCAAGCAGAGAGTTATTATTATCCCTTTAATCACACACAATCAGACATACTCAAATATTATTGGGAGTAATAGAGAGAAGGATTGAATCACCGATTGACATAACAATACCAGGAAACAGAGTGGAGTCTGGGAGGCGGAGCACATATGTGGACATATGGGTAGATGTAATGAAAAGCAGAACTTTCTCACTACAGAGCAGCGTGAACCCTGAAACCCTGAAACCCTGCCTCCCTGTTTCTGGCAGAGCTCCCACCGAAACCACATTCAGGCTTAAATGTCTGCGCACACACACGTACTAAACACACACAACATCCTCCCACCCGCCAGACCCCGCATTCTTGCTGACTATTTGAACTTTTCAGCGAGGGCCGTCTGTCTTGGAAGCATTGACCAAATGTCAGGTGTTATTAGTCGACGTCTCATTCATACAGATTACTGCCCGAGATAATGATGTCCGCAGATAAAAGCACACCTTTGTCTTGTCACAGACCAGCTACTCCACTACCTCCGCATGCACACACACAAATGCAGCCATGATCCACAGTAAAGCCTGTGAGAGAGACATCAGTGCAAAGAATAATGAGCTGTACCGTGTTGTGGTTGAACTTTGGTAGGGCTTTAGAAAGAAGTCTGGCACTTTGGCAGGCAGAGCTGAGAAAGTGTTGATGCATGAAACAACCTTTTGACCTGGAGATTCTCTCTCTTATAGTTGGTCTCCTCTCTAATGCTCATGGTTGGAGGGGAGGTTTATGACAGCAGGCTGGTTTTTTATCTGGTTTCTCTGCACTGGGAAAAGCCGAGGTATCTTACATGATATAGCCCACATACTGTTCAGTGAAGGTAAAAGGAGACCACTGAAGGCTCATGATATTATCTGCACTGTCTTTAGTCACACATTGGAGTATCATTAAATGTGCAATATGGAAGTTGTTGTCCATTGCTGTAATTGTAGGATGCTTCTTAGGTTAAAATTATTCATTGTTTATCGTAAAGGACATTTTATGGTAGCCAAATTATCCACAGAAGTTTCCTCTTCTCTTACATACAAAAATCAGTGTTATGCCAACACAGGATGAAAAGGTCCCAAGTTGACCAGAAACGTTTATTAAGCTTGTTTCTATGATCATTTAGGACCAGAACTCAAATTAGTAATTCCTTAATCCAAATAAAAAGATCAACATCTTTAAAAATTCCAAAATATGCCCCACATTTTTGACACAGACTATGCAAAGTCCTCTAAATATATGGTCTCCATGCCCAGCATGTTCCCTGATGACATCACAATGACATTATCTTATTTTCTAAAACTTGACAAGTGCTCTCTCAGAGCCAAACAACACATTGCACAACTGTTTTCACAGGTTGAGCAGTACTTATTGTTACAAAAAAATTGACTTTTGTGTTTCACATTGGCTAAGTATCCTTTTAAATGTTTTGTTTTATTTACTTTTTCTCAGTGTTCTTTTAGATAATTGTGAAATTGGCACAGAAAATAAAGCAATCTCTATAAAAACAGCCTTTCATTATTTCCATGCGTCACTTGTGCCTCATTTGTTCCCACAATTGTTGATAGCTTTTTATCCTCAGATCATTCATAATAATTTCAACAGATTACAACTGGTGATTTGAATAAATACGGTACTACATGAAAGCAGACTTATGTAACAGTGTTTGGTTCATTGGATATTATTACAAAATCTTAGTAAAATAAAACAACGTCTCTTTTGCTGTAAAATTATGTGGAATGAAAAGAAACCCTTTTGTCTTCAATCTGATGCACGATAGTCTCAATAACATTAAAGTACTGCAGGGCAAGAACAATACATAACAGATTCTGCTCTCACAGGATCTTTGTTATTGGAAATTATGTAATCATTTGAATTGGCATCATCATCAAGGTTATCAGAACCTCTCTGTAAAGTTTTTCATTGTTTAGCCTGAAAGATCTCTTGTTCCAGAAAGCCCTGAGCCCCTTCGTAGCAACACATGTACATTTTTGTCATGATTAATGCGGAGGGAAGAAAAATGACTACTTTGTCTTTGGGCTGTTGCCATCTGGTTGCCATGGTAATCAATGCTTATGCTGTCTCGTGTCTGAGGAGACAAATGGTTGCTGACATCCACTATTACAGACAAGAGGCTGCTATCTGCAAAATGCACTGAGAAAGAAACATAACTCTACCAGTCCATGGAAATACAATGCGAACAAGAAAACATTTTCCTGCCTCTTTGATTAACTGCTGTTCCTTGTAATTACAGCACAAGGCTCATTGTACTCTCCCATTAACCAAAGCCATTCTGTATTGATTTCCTAGAAGATTGAGATCACAACTATTACCCTTCCAACTACAGACGTCTTTGAAATATTGGCCATAACCTTTTTAGAGCTTAGCCAGACCCTGATAACCGTTTCCTGATAATGATACTTTGGCCACTGCCGGGCACATTTTCTATCAACTCAACCTGACCCTTGACCCTGAGTGCAAGCAAATTATATTTAGAGCACAGTAATCTATAGGAAGATTATTTCTTGTTTCCAGATCCAAATATTTGAATGTGTTTAATTTATTTCCCAAGTAGTCTACCCAATTGCGGCTCATTGTCCACAATCAAAACCCCGAAAGTGATGTGTGAATACATCTAAACAGTGTTTTGACCACATCTGAAATACTTTTAACTCTTTAAATAGTTAAGAGCTTAAATGTTTTGACCCTGTTTTCTGTGTTGTTCTCCAGTCATCCTGTCATGCAGTTTAGATTGTGCTCTTAGTGGTTATTAAAGGAACTTTAACATGATGGACATTTGGTCTTTTGAAACAAATTCTCACAGCCTTAGATACACATCTATAATGTAGCTTGCTACTGAGCATATAGTGCATGTAGCTCCCTGACTGAAAACAATAACCTCTCTACTGTAGTTTTTCAGGAATACTGTTCATATAAATAAACATTTGCATTAAGTCAAACTTGCACACAAAGCTTCGGCATCTGCCTTTCAGGAAGGTTGCAGAGAGAAGAATCTCGTAACACTGAGTTTTTATTTCTGCTCCTCAACAATGCCATTGTTTTGATAACTTCACACAGAATATATCAGCGCTCAACTTGCTAAAATTGGCTACACTCTCACAGCAGGGTGGGTGGCAACAACAGAGCATACTTTGAACCTGAAACAATTTACATTTACAGTTGGAGCGGCGCCTTCACAGCTTTTGGGTGTAGAACCGCACCGGCACACACATGCATGTAGTCGCACACACACACCGCAGTGGAGTGGAATGAGACAGACATTGTTTACCTAAGTGGAAGAGCTGGCCGTAGTCCCATACTGTGGTTTTCTTTGGAGGGCCTCCATGTTGGAGATCTAGTGGTTTGTGTGTGGTTCACTTTAACTCAGGGCTGAGGTAGCGGTCTGGCTAACAGATCCCTGGTATGTTGTCACATTGTAACAACTGGGAAAAAGTGTTTAATTTTTATTTATTAATGCTGTAAATCCTGCAAACCACTAACATTTATGTAAAAAAACTGACATTAACTACAAACACAAACATATCCTGCCAGTTAAGTAAAAGACTGCCATTCATTATGGAATTCCCTGAGCCATGAGCTGACGACATAAAACGTAATCTAACCTTAGCTAAGCGTAAAATTCATATAATAAAAAATGTGTAGAAATTTGAACAGGAACAGTCAATTGTACGGGTGAAAGGGTTTGGGTCATGACCTGCCTTTTCACTTTTATGGCTTTCTATCATTCACATCATCAGGCGCACATATTATAAAATCCTATTTCGGCCCCAGCCCCACATCTAAAGTCAACAAATGCTTGTTCGGAGTAATGTTTCTACAGGTTGACAGTAATTGGAAGCAGCTGTTTGAAGCCTCTGTAGCTGGAGTTGACAGTGCAGCTGCAGACAGGCCAGTTAAGCAATAAAGATGTATTACAATGTTAAAGCAGGAAAATGCTGTACAAATACATAATTCACATTTTTTAATGCAAACCAAGTTATTTAATGTGAACCATATTCACTATGTGTTAATATTCTGGATTGTCTTTCTATAAAGCACAGATCCCCATTAAAAAAATATACTCTAATGTAACATATAAAGTGTGCCTTATCTTCTATCAGCGCATTGAAAATAATCTCTTATTTTTCAAATCTCCGAAGCCCACAGATCACAAAATTGCAACAACCCACATACCTCATCTACTTAGCGAACGCCTGCTTGTATGTGTAAAAAGGTAAAAAGAATACAACTTACAGTGCTGGTTGCTTTTACACTTTATCCTGCAGGAGAATTCTTCAGGTTTTACTTCAAACTCCCACGGTTCCAACAGTTACTAGCTGTTTACATTATCACTTTGAAGAGGGTCATCTGGTTTCCCAGAAGAGAGGCAACTGCTGCTTGCCTCTGATCTCCTGAACTCCCTCAGCTCCTCAATGACGGCGGCTGCCTATTCTCACAGGAAAGCAAGGAAACTTGTCAGAGGAGGTTCTGGAGACCAAGCTTTGAGATGGGCATGGAGTGGACGGAAAATAAAAATGGGTGGGACAAGCTTCCACCCCCGTTATATTTAAATATATCCTTCTTTGCTTTAAAGCAGGCCTATTCCCCTAAATCACAGATATTTTGAAGGTAACACTAAATATTGTATCAAGCAGGAATTAATAGCTAATCTGTATCCAACCATTTATTGAGGAAAACTGCAGCAATCTCCTGCCAGGCATACTTTTCCTCTGCATATTGAGCTTGCTACATGATTCTAAATGTTGCTGTCGAGGAGGACATTGCACACAGAATGCTTGTCCGCTATCACCTCCTCCCACGCGCTCTCTAACAGTGAGTGAGTAGGATGTGCTGCTCTCCCTCTGTACTGCACCTTCTGAATACACCAGGCATCTGAGAGTGCATGCTAATACTGTGGAGAAATAACAAAGAAATGCACATAAAATGATGACAAATGATCAACATGTAAATGTCGGATGCATGCAAATGATAGGTCGCTCTGGGTGCAGTTTGTCTTATCAAAACAATAAGAGCACTTAAAAACCCATTAGGAAGCACCAAGAGAGTGAAATACGTGAACGTTTTCCAGCTCAACAAGGCTCTGCTATGATATCTATAGTATATATAATGTTTATGTTCTCGATACGCATAGATATTATCCATCTAATGAAAGTCCAGACGCTTTGGAGGAGAAACCGACAGGAAACCGTCCTCTGATGGTTTTATTTGACTTGGCAGCAACTGATGAGTTAAATTTAGATGTTCCTCCCCACCACGCTGTTGTTGTTGTTGTCTTTGCACAGGCTGATAAAACATTCATTTCCTGAGCTTTCTGAAACCACTGAACCACTCCCACTCGCAGGATGGCCTCAGCCAAAGAGTGTGGCCAGTGAGGTCAAAGGTCACGGTTAGATGAAGAGAAGTTATTAAAATAAACATCAAAAATGATGAAGCTCAAGAAAACTCCCCCATACTGCCATATCTTTGAGCAGTTATTGCATTTTTGTTGTACCACCACACACCCACTCAGAAGGAAAGTTTCTGAAATGATGCCATGTCTGGTAAAAGTTGTCAAACAATATTCCTACACTACACTGCCATCTAGTGAGGACTCTGCAAACATAATGACAGCAGAATATGTCACCTCACCGCCTGTGTCTCCTCCTGTCACAAACACTCCCTCTCTCAATTCGTTTTTGGACAGGCTGAACCAGCTTTCTGGAAAAATCAAGAGAATAAGAATCTGGGGGCAGTGAGCGTCACTCTGGTGTTGGTGGCTTTGGGCTGTGAGGATGCGTGCATCAGAATTGGAATAACATACCTCAGTTCATTTCTGTGAGGATTGTGAGTCAGATACTGTGCTGTTGACATGCTGGCTTGAGTCGAAATACAACTGCGTGTGTGATTATTAGGTTACTTCAATAACTACGTTTTATGGGATGAATACCATTGAGTTACTCACGTTTAATGAGAAGGTTAACAATATCAAAACACCACTAGCAATTGTTTACATGCAAAAGAGACCGGAATCTATTTTTTTTATGTGAAGTTTATTGCTTATACAATAGATCACACAAATAGAAGGTCAAAGAAGTAAATCCTTCAGCTATATTATGCAGTGAAATCACAAATAAATTGTTTTCATAGCAACGTGTTCACAGCAGATAGCTTTCCTGCTGCAGCAACCTTTACCTGAATATCAGATTCATGAGTGTTTAGGCATAAACAAGGCTTCGATATACAAAGGATATTTCTCAGAGAAAAGTGATGACATGATCACAACAATTGGTTACAGAGTATGAGGGGACATGTCAGGTATGTTGATGTAGCAGTTGTGACAAAATGGCAAAAAACAACCCAGTTTCATCTGACATGGTCTTTTATATAAGCCCCACAAATGACTTTGAAATGCTTCAATTCAACTAATGAGCAGAACTTTTCAAGGACCTTTTAAGATGTGATCAAATACATTTTTGGTTCAGATGTGGGTCATATTCACAGATCTAAATCTTAAACAGCATTACATTTAAAGACATTTTTTTGCCCTCTTGAGCAGGAACCCGAACATTGTGTGAATTAAACGTAAGAGTTGCACAAGTTAAGAGATTTTTCAGCAGAGTTTTTAGAAAGAAATCATTCGTAACAGTGACTGACTTGTCAGAATCGCTAGCATCAAACCTCGACATCAACTTGAAAAGTGTTACCAATCACACACACCTTTGATAGGCTGACGTGAAGTGCATCGCCTTAATCTAGCAGTGAAAGGATGATCATCTGATGGCACTGGCATATATAGTCTGAGACAGATGAGCCTTTTCTTCCCCAGGAAGACACGCTGGAGATGAGAGTTCAGAGTTTTTCTTGAGCTGCTTTCATGTAGACAACAACATGAGCATGCACCAGCAGTGTTTGACTCTGCTGCTGCTACTTTTAAGATGTTCTTTAGTCTTTTTATGCCTTTTTATTATTTGGATAAAGATTGACTGGAAAAATTGAATGAGATTGGACAAGATGCAGCAAACAGCCATGGTTTGGATTCGGACCTTCGGTGAGGTCTAGGTTAGCTACTGGGGATCACAGAGCCTAACCGTTTTGTAAATAAATCAAAGCTTCTCCCCAGGGGCTACATGGCTACGGTTTTTGTATTCAAGAGCCTTTGCAGCGTGCCATTCTTGTGTTGTGCTCTTGTCATTCAAGCACTAGCCAAGACGTTTGCTTTGGTCATTTACACCACAATCTCCTTTGACAGAAACACACAGATAGGATGAAAATGTTAATCAGGCTGCCTTCATTGACTGGCTGGAGCGCTCTTGGCTCCCTGCAGCCCTCTAACCAGAGTTCATTGGCTGCTACAGAGCGAAAGAAGAGAGGCTCTAATCTGAAAGGCAAAGCCCCGAGTGGGGTTTCACTTTATGTAGGAAGGACAGGGTGCTGTCAGACCATATTCCAAAGTACTTGAAGAGGCTGTCTCGGGCACAAAGCAATTAATTGTTGTTTTGGTTGTGATGGAGCCAACTGGGATGCACTGCTGCTTAATTTTAGATAGATTTTGTTCTTCATTGATGTTATCATAACTGATAGCTGATACTATCCTCTTTTTTTGCTGGTTATATTATGTTCAGCCTCAAAATATCTGGAACAAAAGCTATTCACTTCCGTAATTGGATTTATTAGCTGTCTGCTCCTGGTCATTTGCTTGACAACAGACAGCACCAAAGCATTAATGTTTGATGGGTAGAGGACTCACTCCTAAAAAGACCCAAGGTAGCTTCTGAATGGCTGTTGCAAATATAATTACCATCTGCAGCACCATAATACCGACCAAAATAGCCCCTTTCTTTACAAACAATTATGCCTCTGTCATCCTAAATAATACCAATGAACTCAGACAGGTTCACTCAGGAGGACATGAGGCACTTTTCCCCTAACTCTGGCTTACTGTGTTGTTGAATTACGCTTTACACTGCGACACAGATTACAAAAGCAAGCTAGTTTGAGGAGCCACAGTATCTCCGGAGGTGACTCCAAGCCTTAATTACCCCAGGAACAGAGGCATAGACGAATATCCAAGACAGCGTCTCAGTGAGTACTGCGCTACCTTAGAATCCCTGTAAGGCAATTACTACTTCTGCAAAGAGTCACGAGGCAGGGCAAAAGAATGGAAAGCAAACTTCTTAAAAATAAAAAACGAAGCCTATCCCCTCCTTTGATCATCATGTTCTTGTCCTGCAGTTCTTTAAACCTGGACGAAGCCCCTGACTCATGGAGGCATCACACTTAGGAGGGACTTACAGACCGCAAAGCTCCGCCAAAACCTGCCCTCAACTATCATTCTTTTTTGTCATTTATAATTTAAACTGGTAAAATAAAAGGCATGCAAACAAACCCTCAGCATTTGGAATCAAGCCTATATCTGCCTTAAATCCATATGGGTTAAAAACAATAACTATCTAATGGTAAAAATCCCAGATCTGGAGCTCTACCAAAATGTAGTCAATTGTTCTCTGGCTCTATGCCTACCTGTAGAAATAATATCATGTAAATCTATTCATATATTTGTAAATATTCGGCAGAACATAATAACTAAGAGGAAAAGACCTAAACTTGTTACTGTACACTGTAGGTAATAAGAGAGCTTCATTGAGATAAATATTTAACACACGCTGAGAAACTTTCTATGTTTTCTAGGTCAGTGAATTGTTTCTGACATTGGGTTTTAAAACATAATTATTTTTCTTGCTATTTCTAGAATAACAAGGGAACATGGGATTAAAAAGTACTTTCACTGACTTTTAATGACTGAGATCATGATGTGGACGATCACTCCTCTGAGGGCTGTTATACTTTGATATGCCATAAGTTAGCTGTAAGAGTGATACAAGAACTTTATTATGTAAAAACAATGTTGAGAGAGAATTTAATGCCAGAATGTGTCAAGCAGGTCTTTCTCACAGACAGCACATTTTTAAAAACCTTTTTATTGTCCCCAGAGTGCTTACTTATTTGTTTGATCTTCCTGGGCGCTATCAAAGGAACAAAAGTATTTTTTATCTGAAATACCACGCTGAGTTTTTCACATTACCCACCTGGTCATTTGGATTCATCTCTGGGAGAAGATCAAAAACTATTTCTGACGAATATTTTAGAGTTGTTTGCAGCACAGTATCCTTTCAACATCAGCGTTTTAAATAAAATGTCTCTTCTTTAGATCAGTTGTTCCTGTGGAGGCAATTACAAGAAGAACTTAAGTGCATTTGTATTGAGGTTATTTTCTCTCCAAGAGCTTTGAGGAGAGGATTCAGACTATTCAGCTACAATGCTCAGCAGCAGCACATGTCCAACACTGAACTTGATCCCCGGGTGGCTCTTGAAGTGATTATCTTTGAATACTTGAGGGTTTTCATTGTGCAAGAAGACATTACAGTAGCAAAACCATTTATCTCTAGGTTGCATTAAGTAAGGGAGGACGGGCGGACATAAATGT